TACTCCCAACTTTGTGTGAACAGTTTGGGGATGGCTCCTTTATGTTCCATCATGAGGGCTGCTTAGAGCCTGAGCCAGCCGCTCCCTCCCCCTCCACAGCTCAGTGCCCCAGTGAGCGCGGGGGGGATGGGGGGCGGCGCAGACAGTGGTGACTGACAGTCTCTGCTAACAGTGGTGGTGAGAAGTCAGCGTTCATGTGATCGCTGAGTTCTCACACTTACTGCATGTCCCCTTCTGGCTCTTTTGGACTGATGCTGCGTCCACCTAGGTAAATATAATTTGGGTCCCCTTCCTGTTCCAACATGACGAGCTGGGGGGGGGGGGGGGAGCAGAGCAGACAGTGGTGACTGACAGTCACCTTTCTCTGCTCACAGCGGTGGTTAGAACTCAGCAGTCATGTGATTGCAAAGTTCTCACACTTAGAGCTGCCAGGGGACAGATGCAGTATCGGACCAATGCTGCATCCACCTAGGTCAGGGACGGGCAACCTGTGGCTCTCCAGCTGTTGTGTGGAACTACATTTCCCATGAGGCATTGCAAAGATCAGAAGTTAAAAGCATAACTCTACAGGACCCATGAGACATTGCAAAAACTGACAGTTACAGCTATGACTTGCAGAAGCATGCTAGAACTTGTAGTCCTGCAACAGCTGGAGAGTCGCAGATTGCCCACCCCTGACCTAAGTAAATATAATTTGGGGAGGAAAAACAAAGCCATACTTCTCTTTTAAATGCATGTGTGTGTATAATATATATATATATATATATAAATTATTTTATTTTTATTATAATACATATATTTTATAATTGTATATTACATTTGCGGCCCACCTTAGTATCACTTGAAATTTTTATTGAGTTGTACTTTTTTATTTTAATGGGGAATATAGGTATGCTAAAAAGCATTGCAGTTTTAAAGAAAGAACTGTACAAACAATTTAAGGTTAAGTTCACCTTTAAAGAAAAAATAATTTAAGGAAACCTATATTTGCAGGAAAAAAATGCACTGAGCAGACAAGATACTGAGCTATGGGGAGAAAAAAAGAACTGTCAAAAGACCCACATAGCAAGGTAAAGAAAAAGAACCTGCTGGACCGGTATTAAAGTGTTCTTAAACCCACAACGGTGAAATCAGTCTGTATATGCAGTAAAGTATGCTTATTATGCTCACTGTGGAACTTTATGGGTTAATCCTCTGCATTGTGTAAAAAGGCTGTTTGATCCTTTGTTCTCTGTTCCTCCCCTTTTTCAAGCGACCACCACTTATCTCCAGACTGAACCGTAGGCATGCACATGCTCAGTTTGGTGTATATTGCAAGAGAGGTTTTTTTTTTTTTTCTTTGGAGAGTGCATGTGATCAGCACAGGGCTAATCAGCACTGTCCAGACAGAGTTCAGGGGATTTCCATCCTAGAACAGAAAGAAAACTCCTACAAGCTTTAGACAGGGCTGGGCTGGACACAGATAGAAGTCACAAGACTGCTCTAACTGCTGAGGAGAAAAGGTATTTAGCAGTTTATATTTACTAAAATAATTGCACTTCCATGTTGTGTGTACTGTGGGAGACCAGATACAGTGGATGCAGGGTCCTAGGTTTAGTAACATTGTAGATTAAACTTTTGGATATTCAAAATCCAGCCCAAACTTTTTAAATTGTTCTGAGCTAGATTCAATTTCTCCCACAACTTCTCCTCTGAAGCCACAAAATACTATCCAAGATAAGGTATCACTGCTACTCCCTTTAGTCACAGAGGCGTCTGCCAGTACCTTTGTGAATATTTGCGGGGCACACGAAAGGCCAAATGGAGCTTCCGTGATCAAAGGTCATTGGGCATGTGGAGGTAGGCTTCTTTTAGGTTGATTGCTGTGATGTAGCAACCTTACACAAGCCAATTTCTGATAAAATAATAAAGTTCATACAAAATTTGTTTGTATTGGACTGCATTGTTTAAAGGTCTCAAATTGAGAGTTAGGAAGAACTTTCCCAAAGATTTCCCAAACAGAAATACATGGGTGTAGAATCCCTGCTGCTGCTCTTCTAATTGCACCGGTACAACCAACCTCTGAAGTATCTGTTCCTAGATCGGAGACAAGATTTTTCGGAATGTCTGTCACAAGATATCTTTTTGGAAGGGGTTTTGCAAATTCTGTGTCGTATGCTCGGGAGACAATACCCAAAATGTACTGATTTGAGATGATGACTTCCCATCGTAAAAGGAACCCCTGCAATCTTCCTACTGGGAGGAAAGAGCCATTGGGATTTCTCGGACTGCGCAGGAGGATGGAAAGCAACTCCCTTTTGTTCTTGGACATCTGAACGGTCTAAGTCTTCTGCGTCTTGTTATCTTGCAATTCAGCTCTTTGAGAACAAAAAAGTCATATTATTATTTCAGGTACTTATATAGTTCTGTCAATTTACACAGCGCTTTACATATATATATTGTACATTCACACCAGTCCCTAACCCTCAACGGGTGTACAATCTAAGGTCCCTAGCTTACATTCATACATACACATACTTGGGACAATTTTAGACAGGATCCAATACACCTACCAGCATGTCTTTGGAGCGTGGGAGGAAACCGGAGTACCTGGAGGAAACCCACGCAGTCACAGGGAGAACATGCAAACTCCAGGCAGGAGGTGCAATGGCTGGGATTCAAACCAACGACCCTAGTACTGCCAGGTGGAAGTGCTAACCATTTAATCACTGTGCTGCCCAAGTCATGAAGATGGCTGTATGTTTCTTTTTCACCAGAAGATTATGCTTTTTGTCAGCCATACAATCCAGATCTGATTCTTATTCTGGACCAAAAAAAGGTCCCCTGCAAATGATATATCATACAACTTTATCTTAGAAACCAAATCTACCAGCCAATTTTTCAGTTATAAGGCCCTTCAGGCGGACTTTGTAAATGCTGCTGATCTGGCCCACATTTGAATGGATTCGACTGAGGCAAATGCTATATTCAGTATCCAACAGTTTGAGAAAGATTCCTTGGCTACATAGTTTAAAAAAAGACACAAGTCCATCTAGTTGAACCAATAAAAAGTGTAAACAATGTACAATCCTATATACACAATCCTATACCCACAGTTGATCCAGAGGAAGGCAAAAAAAAAACCCAGCAAAGCATGATCCAATTTGTTCCAACAGGCGAAAAAATTCCTTCCTGATCCGTATGCAAGTGCATCATTTAAATTTATCAGCATTAAACCTCATTTGCCACATACTGAAGAGCTGCTGCTCCAGGTAGGCCCACACACCTGCTGAGAGGGTGCTTTCCCAGCTTGCAAGCTGCACAGTGAACAACGAAAATCCCGGATGCCTGCACTCCAACAGATGCACTTTATTGTGAGAGAAAACGCCAAGAAGCAGAATCACATATGGTGGGGGGAACAAGAGCAAGGTTAACATGTTTCACGCACTAGCGCTTACTCGTAACCACATAGTTGCCCAATTAAACAGTGCCTTTAGGTCTGCCTGTAAGTTGGAGACATCCTGTAAGGATGTTATTCCACTGCACAGCTTGGTGTCACCTGCAAAGAATGAAATATTACTTTTAAAGTATTGGGATACCTGCCTTTACACGCACATGAACTTTAATGGCATCCCAGTCTTAGTCCATAGGGTTCAATATTCAATTGGCCCACCCTTTGCAGCTATAACAGCTTCAACTCTTCTGGGAAGGCTGTCCACAAGGTTTAGGAGTGTGTCTATGGGAATGTTTGCCCATTCTTCCAGAAGCCCATTTGTGAGGTCAGGCACTGATGTCAAACAAAAAGGCCTGGATCGCAGTCTCCACTCTAATTCATCCCAAAGGTGTTCTATCGGGTTGAGGTCAGGACTCTGTGCAGGTCAGTCAAGTTCCTCCATCCCAAACTCACTCATCCATGTCTTTATGGACCTTGCTTTGTGCACTGGTGTGCAGTCATGTTGGAACAGGAGAGTGCCATCACCAAACTGTTCCCACGAAGTTGGAAGCATAAAATTGTCTAAAATGTCTTGGTATGCTGACGCCTTAAAAGTCCCCTTCACTGGAACTAAGGGGCCAAGCCCAACCCCTAAAAAAAAAAAAAAACCCACACCATGATCCCCCCTCCACCAAACTTTGCACAATGCAGTCAGGCAAGTACCGTTCTCCTGGCAACCATCAAACCCAGACACGTACATCAGGTTTCCAGACAGATTCGTCACTCCAAAGAACACGTCTCCACTGCTCTACTGTCCAGTGGCGGCATGCTTTACACCACTGTATCCAACGCTTTGCATTGCACTTTCTGATGTAAGGCTTGGATGCAGCTGCTCGGCCATGGAAACCCATTCCATGAAGCTCTCTGTGCACTGTTTGTTGTTGTGCTAAGCTGAAGGCCACATGAAGTTTGAAGGTCTTTAGCTATTGTCTTTGTGCAGACAGTTGCCAATTTCTGCACACAGTGCACTTCAGCATGCGCTAACCCCCCCTCTGACCGTGGAATATTTAGTAGCAAGCAAATTTCACTGATGGACTTGTGGCACAGGTGGCAACCTATCACGGTACCATGCTTGAACTCACTGAGCTCCTGAGAGCGACCCTTTCTTTCACAAATCTATGTAGAAGCATGCCTAAGTGCTTTATTTTTTACACCTGTGGCCATGGAGATCATTGGAACACCTGAATCCAATTATTTGGAGGGGTGTCCCAATACTTTTGGCAATATAGTGTATATTAACCACTAGCTTACAGGGCACTTATACCCCCTTCCTGCCCAGGCCAATTTTCAGCTTTCAGCGCTGTCACACTTTGAATGACAATTGCGCAATCATGCAACACTGTATCCATATGAAATTGTTATCATTTTTTTGAGACAGATAGAGCTTTCTTTTGGTGGTATTTAATCACCTCTGGGTTTTTTATTTTTCTTAAAAACAAAGGCTACACTGATGGACACTGATAGGTGGCACCTATGGGCACTGATGAGGAGGCACTGGTAGGTGGCACTGATGGGCATTGACAGGCATCACTGATGGGCACTGAAAGGCAGCACTCATATATGGCACTGATAGGCGGCACTGACTGGCACTGTTAGGCAGCACTCGGGCACTGATAGGTGGCACTGATGCACACTGATAGGCGGCACTGACTGGCACTAATAGGCGACACTGACTGGCACTGATAGGCGGCACTGACTGGCATTGATAGGTGGCACTGACTGGCACTGATGGGTGACACTGAAAGGCAGCTCAGATGGGCACTGATATGTGGCATTGATGTGCACTGGTAGGCACTAATATGTGGCATTGATGGGCACTGGCAGGTGGCATGGATGAGCACTGACATCTGGCATTGATGGACACTGACAGGTGGCACTGCTGGGGCTACACAAATCTTCAGGGCACACTGATCATCAGTGCCCTGATGATCAAGGCACATGTCCCCTCTGAGGGATGCCAATTACTGGCTCTCCTGCCCTCTCGAGCTGTCAGCGTGACAGCTCATGAGGAGATAAATGCCGACAACCGACATTTCCCTATTTACATGTGATCAGCTGTGATTGGACACAGCTGATCACATGACCGAGCCAACATCTCCGGCTTCTTTAAGTTGTTCGGTGATCCGCTGTATCTGAGGGACACAGCACACCGCCAATCGCCGCGCTGCAAGCTCTTGGAGCCGCGCATGCGCGGTTAGAATGGGACAACGTCATATGATGTCATCCCAGAATGAGAGAACCACCACCCGTCATTGTACTATATGGCGGGCGGGAGGTGGTTAAAAAGTAAGGTACCCAACACTGAACCTTGGGGTACACAACTAACAGCCCTACACCATTCAGAGTATGATTCATTAACCACTACTCTGAATATGATCTTTTTGCCAGTTTTCTATCCATTTAAAAACATATTTTTACAAGTCTGTAGATCTTACACATTAGCAGTGTGTGGGAAATTATGTCAAATGCTTTTGCGAAATCCAAGGAAACAAGGTCCATAGCCACTCCTTTGTGTAAAGTTTTGCTTACATCCTCATAAAAAGAAATCAGAGTTGGTTGACAGCTTCTGTCTTTCATGAATCCATGCTTTGTGTCGCTTAAAATATTTTTTTCCAGCAGGAATACATCTATGTGGTCTTTAATTAAATTCTACAGTATCTTCCCAACTATAGAATTAAACTAACAGGTCTATAGTTGCTTGGTAAAGACTTTGACCCTTTTTTAAATACAGGCAGCACGTTGTACTTACGCCAATTCAGTGGTACTATGCCAGTCATTGAAGATGCCCTAAAAATTAGAAACAATGGCTTTGAAATGATAGAGCTCAATTCTTTAGGACTCGTGGGTGTATGCCATCCGGTCCAGGTCACCTTTATTCTGTCTAAATATTTCTGAACCATATCAGTTTTGAGCAATTGTAGATCATTTTGAGCTGTGTCGATATCATTTTCATTATGTACATGAATTCCCTCATGCTCCAGTGTATACACAAAGCTAAAGAATGTATTTAATAAATTCCCCTTCTCTTTGTTCCTATTCACCTAATATAAATTATTTTGTGAAGGGCCTACATGCTCAGACCTGACCTTTTTACTAATAATATATTTGAAGAATTTTTGGGATTTGTCCTATTATGTTTTGCAATCTGTACTTCCTGTATAGAAGAGCCCCCAGGCACTGCACTAAGAAAGGCAGAAGCCTGCATGGTTCGAAAAGATTAAAATGTGGTACAGGGCTCAATCTTGACTGATGAAATAGGGTCATTACCAACAGCTGACGATTCCTCCTCAACAAGGAGAGCAATACAGCTCTTGCAAAGTGTTTTTTTTTTTCTAAGCATCTCCTAGTTTTACTCTGCATGAGAGGCACTTTTTCTTCACATGGACTGTTCTCTATCAGAACTCTTGGCTTGAAACACATAAAGGAACAAACCCCAGCTAAGACCCTGATCCAAGAGCACCATTCTCCCCAAAGATGCTCAAAACATACAGTAGGTGAACTGAAAAAGAAAACTAATTCAAGTTTCCAGACAGGCCCCAGGTATGGGGAGACTTATAACCCTAAAGGACAGTCCGGAAAGATTTTAGCCTCTCCCTAGTTCCAAGGTTTCTACCAGACTGGAGGAAACCCAAAAACTGAGGGTCTGTGAGGAGAAGACTCTTTAAACCTCTTGAGGACGGCCCACATTGTACTGCGGATGGGCGGCTCCTACAAGCATGTAGTTGTATGGCACTGCCTATTTCTGGGTTCAGGGTATGTGCCCCTTCCTGATGATAAGCTGTATCCAATCACAGCTCAGAGCTCTGTGTTAACAAATAGCACAGGACTCTGTACAGAGGAAGCAATCTCTTTGCTTCTCCATGCAAAGAAGGGAGAAGAAACAGAGATTTTTAGTAAAAAAAGCAGCACACATTAACACTTGGTAATGTTTATTACCATGAGATGTTAACCCCTTCCCAGACAGTGTTATCAGTACAGTGACAGTGTGTAGTATTACCACTGATCACTATATTAGTGCAACTGATGATGTCAGTTAGTGTCAGATTGTCCGCAGCACATCAAAGACCCACTATAAGTCGCTGATCACCACCTTCACTAATATAAAATAAATACAAATTGCAGTATTTATATCATAGTTTGTAGATGCTATATCTTTCATGCAAACCAATTAATATACACTTATGGAGATTTTTTTTAACAAAGACGTAGCAGAATATATTTTGGCCTAAATTTATGAAGAAATTACATTTTTTAATAAATAAGTTTTATAGCAGAAAGTAAAAAGTTTTTTTCCCCAAATTTTCCAGTTTTTTTTCATTTATGTAACAAAAAATAAAAAACCCAGTGATGATTAAATACCACCAAAAGAAAGCTCTATTTGTGTGAAAAAAAGATAAATTTCATTTTTGTACAGTGTTGCATGACTGTGCAATTGCCAGTTAAAATAGCGCAGTGCTAAATAGCAAAAAATGGCCTGGTCATGAAGGGAGTAAAACCTTTCGGAGCTCAAGTGTTTAAACTCTGATGGTAGATGTGTTTCCTGTCTCTGGTGTGAGGAGCTACAATCTCTCAGGTGCTGTCCTGAAATACATTTTGGGAAACTAGTATCTTCATAAGGGACATTCAAGGGTCAGTGCATCTATCCTATTTTTTCATGCTATGTGCATGCATGATAAATAACTAAATTTAAAGTGCCTGTAAAGACTATTTTTAATTAATACAGTATAAAAAAGTTGTTATACTTACCTACTCTGTGGAATGGTATTGCACAGAACAGCCTCTTACCTCCTCTTTTGGAATCCACCACCAGTACTGTCCGATCCTGCTTCCATGCCAGTGCCCCCTCAGCAAGTGGTGTGCTGAGGGGGCACCCATGCAGGCACATTCCAGCGTTAGGCTGTGTGCGACCATAGACACACACAGCTTGGCCACACTCCCCATTCTCTCCTCACAGGATTTGACTAACAGCTACAGAAGCCAATGGATCCCACTGTTTTCAGGGTCTCCTTTAAAACCAGGATGAGAGAGCAGCAGCACAGCAGGCGGGACATCGCTGGATTCAGAGAGGACTCAGATAAGTGTTTAGGGAGGTGGGCCAGGAAAGGAGGTATTGGAAAGGTTTGTTTTTATACCTTAATACAGAGAATGCATTAAAGTAGAACTATAGGAAATGTTTTTAATATTCTGGATAGAGTAAGGGAGGGTAATTAGCCCTGTCAGAATTTTTTTTTACCATCTGCAGAGATTTCCCTTGCTGTCCCATAGCCAAACAGGAAGTGAGAGGAAATTCCTTCAAATAAAAGGAATTCCATGGGGACCCCCAGGTCACCATGTCTAGTGTCCCCATTGAAACATTTTCCCTATATTACTTTTCTGGGACAACCCAAAATTTGGGATTTTCTTTTACTTTCACTTTTAATGATAACAGTAAACTGGACATGAGTGGGTAAATCTCCCTAATGGGGCCACAAACAGCATTAAAAACTGACAGGTGTTATAATCCCAATTCGCTCTATCCAAAACTAAAAAAAAAGTTTTGCCTTTAGTTCTACTTTAAATTAAAAAAACGCTTTTAAGTTTATAACCACAAAATCTAATACCTTTACAAAGATCGCATTCCCTACAGACAATGCCTAATCTCCCTTCCACCATCTTTGTTTTGGCATTATCCAAGGACATCAAGAGGACAAACATAACTGGAATGCCTTTTGTTTGTTGTGGATGTTTAGGACTTCTGTCGCGTCTTTATTGCTGTCTTTTGGGAAATGTTTGAAGTTTGAGCGCCAAAACTATTTGTATTCTGTTGCCAGCATGATTGTGAAGAGTATGCAAATGGTCTTGGCAACCTATTTGAAATATATTGTTAATGCCGCTATGAATTTTGGGATTAGCTCTCTCAGCCTGATCAATGTTGTAGTAACGTGCAGTAAGGAAATTTTACAGTAGTTACAAATTACATTCCACGTTATTATTATTATTATACAGTATTTTTAAGGCACCAATAGTTCGCTCAGCGCTGTACATTACAAAGGGGGACAGAACATGCGACAGAACAATAACAATACAATGCAAAACATGAGGGGATTGAGGGCCCTGCTCTTTCGAGCTTACAATCTAGGAGGGAGGGGATAGTGGTACAGGAGGAGATAGCTGTGGGGGATGGAGTGGTAGGAAGAGTGGAGGAGGTCGGCAAGTTAGCAGGGGGTGGGGTAGGCTTCCCTGAAGAGATGGGTTTTCAGGGTGCGCCTAAAGGAGAGGAGAGTAGGTGATAATCTGATGGGTTGTGGCAGAGAGTTCCAGAGGATGGGTGACACCCTGGAGAAGTCCTGGAGGCGGGCATGGGAGGAGGAGACCAGGGAACTAGAGAGAAGGAGGTCTTGTGAGGAGCGGAGTGTGCGTGCTGGGTGGTACTTGGATATTAGGTCAGTGATGTAGTTCGGGCAGTGTGGTGGATGGCTTTGTACGTCAGTGTTAGGATTTTGAATTTGATCCGTTGCGCAATCGGAAGCCAGTGGAGGGATTGGCAGAGGGGGGTGGCGGAGATGGAGCAGTTGGAAAGGTGAATGAGTCTGGCAGCCGTATTCAGGATCGACTGAAGCGGGGATACCCAGCGGCGAGGCAGGCCAGTAAGGAGGGAGTTGCAGTAATCGAGTCGTGATATGATGAGGGAGTGGATGAGCTGTTTAGTGGTTTCTGGGGTTAGGAACGTGCGGATTTTGGCGATGTTGCGGAGTTGGAGTCTGCACGAGCTTGTTAAAGATTGGACTTGGGGCTGGAAGGATAGGTTGGAGTCCAGAATGACACCAAGTACTCTGACCTGTGGGGGGGCGGGTTTGATGGTGGCGTTGTTGGACATGATGGAGAAGTCAATGGGGGGTGGTGTCCGGGCTGGGGGGAAGACAAGAAACTCGGTCTTGGAGAGGTTCAGTTTAAGGAAGTGGAGTGATATCCAGTCAGATATGTCGCTCAGTAGGTGTGTGATTCGGGCAGAGACTGAGGGGGTGAGGTGGGGGGTTGAGAGATAGATTTGTGTGTTGTCGGCATATAGGTGGTAGTTGAAGCTGTGAGAGTGTATGAGTTGGCCAAGGAAGGAGGTGTAGATGGAGAAGAGAAGGGGCCCGAGGACGGAGCCTTGAGGGACCCCAACAGAG